CCTCTTGGCTGATTCTGACAGATTCAGAAGAAGCGGGGAATCACACTTTTTAGTATGTAATTATATTGGAATAGCTGTATATACTTTGGCTTTAGAATTTAACTGCCTTCTCAAACACATTTTAACAATAGCAGTAGCACTTAGACTTACATTCCACTTTTAACAGCATTTACAGCTGTATAAACTGAAATAAATAAAAGATTACTTTTGAAACCGCTACTGAATTCTACTTTAAAAGAAGTGACATTCAGAAACAAAGGCCACTCTCATCAGACCAATGCAATTTCTTTACTGAAGGCTGTGCCCAATCATGGGAGGAGAATAAAAATACAGAATTAGTTCAATTGTTCCCAAGCCAAAGTTCAGTACTAATTTTCTAATTCAGACACTACTGAGTACTACAGACATCTACATTCTAGAATTCAGTTTTATTATTCTATTTTTCTGCAACAGCTCAAGGCAATGCACATACCTTATTTTCACCAGACTAATTTTATCCTCAAAACTAAAACAAAAATAGATTAGGGCATGAAGAACTGAAGTGGGTCACCTCCAATCCCAGTCCAATATTTTAATCATTATATCTTAATGGCTTTCAGTGGTGGGGAGCACAAGCCTCTAAGGGTGTTGATTAGCTTGGAGAAATGTGATCTGAGCCTTGTTCTGCTTACACTGAATTTTTAGACACTGCCTACATTCATAAAAAATGCAAAACATAGCTTGATTTAGACAGAATGGCACTCAATAGTTTGTTGAACAAGCCATTGCACCTTGGGATAAATGATTAACCATGAATTTGTCATCATTCTAAGCCATACATAAACATCTTCAGTTTAAAGATAGCACATACTTCCCATACACTGTACATAGCTGGCTTCTCCTACAAGCAACCAGAGTGACACTTCTTAGAAATCATATTCCATGGTTCATAAAATAGATATATCATCTAAAAACTCATTTTCTGACTTAGCCAAAACTTTGTATTATATACCCAAGTTCACAGAAATTTAGTGTACAATTAAACATAAGCTACCAGAAGGAATTACATTTAATCATTTTGTGAAACAAGAGTTTGCAGGCAATATCCCACCAATAAAAAGTGCTACTGATACTACACTTTGTATTTTGGAAAATACATGCTACTGATGCAAACAAAAACAATGGGAATAAAAAACCCCAGAGAACTATCCAAATTGTCCTAAATTATGCAAGTATGACCCTCCCAATCCTAATCATCAACCACCTGGACTAGACATGAAATAACACTACTGTTCAGTATTTAGAGTTTACTTAGGCATGAGAGGCAACATCCATTCGAAAACATTTTAAATAGAACAGATGTGAAAATGGAGTATGGATAACCAGTAGATGCTCAGAATCCTAGTATGTTCATTTTAAAAACCAACTGATCATTATTCTTATTCACACTACATCACTGTAGCTATTGTGGTAGAATTGATAGATAATACTTTTCATCAGCGTCATTTATCATATACCGTATTTATATCAGAAAATTAAGATACAGCATTGCCACTGAATACTATCATTTAAATATTGGATGAACATGTAGTGCATGGGCAGAAGATATGGAGAGATCTGGCCCATAGAATCACCAGGAGTTGGACACAACTGAATGGATAACATCAACATGATCAAACACTGGATGTGTTAAACTAGTCTTGCACTCAAATCTTCCATCTTAATATCTATTTTTCTCCTGAAAATTTTTGTTTTAGACTGTTTATTGTCCATTAATATAGCTCAGTTAAAAAGGAAATGAATAGCTGTACGTGGATAAATAAAACTTCATGATGTCCACCCACCACAGAATCTTATACTGAGATCACGCAGGCCTCAGAAACAAAGCATTTCTACCACCAACTGGTGTCATATACATCTAGTTTGGCATTCCACTCACTACCAAGATTGGCAGTTTTCCCTGGTGATATCAAATACCAATATTTATTTGTTCATTTGTTTTTTCCCAGGAATTTATTGAATTTCACATGTTTTTATCATAAAGTGCTTTGACATTTCCTGTAAAAATAAAAAGTACATACAAATTATATTAATTAAATAAGCATAAATCATATTGAGCACTGAAACACTTTTAATCTCTACTTGGTTCCTCACTCAGGGCTATCACACTCATTCTGCTACTGTTTTCTTCTTATTCCTTTGGACAGGAAACATATAATGGATAGGTTTGTATAAATTATATAAGTTCCTTTTAGATAAGAATATTTCTTCTCAAAATAGATCATCACATTTTATTGGCAAGCATTTATATGTGTGTGTGTATATACATTCATAATCTCAAGTAACAATTTTTATGTCTTCTCAAAATAGATGACATAACAATTATATCATATTTAATTCCTGGCTTTTCCAACCATATTCATGAACTTAACTAAATCTTATGAATATTTTAAAATTGAAATAGGTGAATTTTGTTCCAGATTTAGATAAATTATACATGAAGGCCCTTTGTTGAATTATTTCCCAGTCTTAATATTTTTTCCAAAGGAAATAGCAATCTGATATTAATGTGAATCTGTTGTTTTACAAAATCCGGGGGGGGGGGCAGATATAAAGAGGTAAAAGAGAAAATTGTAGATTTTGAAAGTTGAACTCCAAGATTTCAAAAAACATTACTGGCAAAACATTTTCTCATTATGTACTGCACAAGTTAACATACATGGTACAAAGAAAAAAACCTATTTAAAAATGAAACATTAGTTGGTTTTATTTTTTCCAATGTTGAGCATAAACATAAACTGGCATTGTATCCAGAAAATCATTTTTTTCACAGCCAAGGAAAGAATGAATTTCATAATGTTACATTATTTTATAATAGTGCTATCGTATTGTTTCTTATATACCTTATATTTGCTTCTCTTCTTCAATCCATTAATACACTCATTTTGACATTTTTTCCAGCCCTTGAATTTAAATATACCAACAAGTTGACATCTATATTTCAAATAGAACCAAGAACAACATTTACAATTTGGAAAGTAATGAAGAATATGATCTTTCCATTACAAGTGGAGCAAGTATTGGAAACAATGTAACTAAATAAACCCAAAGCAGTTATTATTACTCTGAAAAAA